AAGTAGGCTTCTCAATAGCAGAAGTAGCCATTTACTTTACCTTTGGTTGAAAGTTTATTCTGATCCAGCAAAGTAATCAATGAGAATTTATGTTCCTGAAATTTTCATGACCAATTCCATCAATTAATCAAATACCATTTTAATTTCGCAGCAAATGTTATTAGTCACCATAGAGAGAGATCTTGTCATTCTTACCAAAAATGAGATTAAGGCTTTTCTTGGCAATTCATCTATTATAGAAAATTCCATCATTTTAGATGAGAACTCTTCAATTAGCAAAGGTTGTATATTAAGATCATAAATTAGATGATCAATACGTAAGGTTGAATTCTAATATATTTACACAGTTGTACATTTTAATGAAATTACTGTTTTAATATATGCTGGCAGACTGCCTTATTTCTATAGGAGGTTATATATTATATAAATGCAAAAAAAGGTAAATTAACTTTAATGTGATTTTTTTAAAAATGTATTTGATCTTAGAGATCATATGCAGCAGCATAACAGGAAACATTTTATTACAATATTACCTTTACAAACAGAAATCATATTTGAAAATATTTATTCTAGGGTAGGATTATGCTTAGAGCTCTAAAACTGAAACAGAAGGAACACAAGCATCTTTGTTCATTTGACCTGGGATATAAGTTAATCCTCAGAAAAATATTGTGGTTTTTTTTCTTTACACAGCTAATCAATCAGTTATTTTACAAGCTTTCTTTGCTAGCCTAGTTTTTTCCCCACTTATCTCTTGGGCAGTAAACTACACAATCCATGTGTGTGTGTGTGTGTATGTATGTATATGTATGGGTGTATATATCAGGAAGCACTGCTTAAATAAACATATATACAGTATATTACTATCTCAAATATTTATGCAACAATTATTGTAGTCAATTGGCTACATTGTTTTCTTCTGCTTTTGAATGCAAAATTTGAAGTAAGTTGCCCACCCATTTATTTTCTTTTCTGCCTAACTCACAACTTGTGTCAATGATATTTAAGTTTTATGAAGGATTTAACACCCTTTCCCTCTTCTCTATTTATGATTCATTTCTCTCTTAATAGGACAGATGACAGTTCTTTTCAAGAATACTTAGAAAGGCAACAGAGCCATTTCAGAGGGTTCTTATAAGAGGTCAGGCTTCTGTTCTTTAGCTTGAATCTGATACTGTTTCGTGAATTGCAGGGTATGAAAGATAAGGAAGTAAGTCCAGTGGTCAGGTTTTACCTGCCCACCCGGACTGTGCCCTGAGGTCAAGCTCCTGATATTTGCTGTTTGGTGCAGAGGAGCTGATGACAGGTAGGGGCTGGTACAAAGGGGAAAGCTTGAACCATATCAAAGCTAAAAGGCAAGAGAATTGGGACATTGCAAGAGACTGTGGCTAAAAGATG